GAGTGGTCGTTAAATCGCATCCTTTCTCACCGTGATATCTACGAGAGTATGAAGTGTGTCATATCTCAAACCACCATATCACAAAACGGGATACAATCGAGGCTGAATGTCGCTAACATTGCTTGTCTGTCCGGTTTCATTCATTAAAAGCATCGTATTATTATTCCTGCGTTAAGACTCCCAAATGTATCTGTGACTTCATGAACCCTTATGGATCCATGATACAGATTACGTTCCGTTACAGATGAATGTTATGTAACGCAATCTAACGTAAGGCAACGCATTACGACAAAACATTAAACTTTCTGCATCTATTATTGCGCTTGTCCGTCTGACTTCTTAGTCTAAAAGCATTTCAATCGTATTCACTTCTGATTATAGACGTGTAGAATGGTCGTTAAATTGCATCCTTTCTCACCGTGATGTCTACTAGAGTATGAAGTGTGTGTGACAAAAAGATTAGGCAGCACTTGTCTCCGCAGCCGACCTTAAAGCGTCTCAGATGTCGACCACTTACTGACTCTCAGCACTGAACACACAGCGTGAAATAGGAGAGGCCACACGCACACACACGCACACGCACACACACACACACACACACACACACACACACACACACACACACACACACACACACACACACACACACACACACACACACACACACACACACACACACACACTCAGCTCACTGGCGTCCGTCTTGAGCATCAATCTCTGTCATATCTCAGATTGCATTTCTGCTCTGCTATTTATTCTGCAGCTCTTCTACCTCCGCTCTGTCTCTGCCTCTCACTCAAACATGCACATAAGAGACCGTGCACACATTTAGCGTCCTTCACGTGCACGCCCCCCCCCCCCGACCCGACCCTCCTCTCATCCATCAGGCTGCAGCACAATAGTTGTGTCTGCGTGGGACAGCTCCCTCTTCTTCAGACTGCCATGGAGAGGACAGAGCTTCTGCAGGAATCTGATCCCTTCCTCAAATCAAGCTCATCATGATCATCAATCATGAGCTCCACAGGTCAGAGCCTCTTCACACTCATGCTCTCCAGTACAGGTTAGCTCTGAGTGCTAGCGATGCTAATGTAAACACCGACCATATTACGTCCAAAACAGTCGGCCATTGTTTCTGATAGCAACGTTTCTGATTGGGCCGTGGGTCCACATTTCAGATATTACGTCATATCGGACGCAAATCTGGATCAGCTCCGTTGTTCCCCGTTTTTAGAGATTTGGGTACGGAGGAAAAGAGAGAGGGGACACTTTGTGAGATCCCCGACACACCGGGGACACATCTTGATGTATAAAAGACATCACAAAGTGCGCGATAGGAGACCTTCAATGCGAGACCTCTAGAGGTAATGACATGAATTACAGCTGGATTACAAGGCATTGAGGGCATTGATGATGCTCTCACAAAAGCCCTGTGTGCAGCTATTATGCAATCACCGAATGTATTGAAATCTCTCTGGAATCAGACTGAAAGACAGTAGAACAAACTTTCCAGAAGATTTAAGACTGCAACATATTTCCACATCTTCCCTCTGAGTCCAAACCCACTCACTCGTGTCTGGGAATCTCTGCTGAAGCTCTGGAGCAGATTTGTCTCTTTTAGTGTTGCCTGAGGCCAGATCTCCAGCTGAGGCAGACTTTAAAACCGCTGTTAGAGTAATAATAAAGTAATGGATGACGGTCAAACTTTAGAGGAGCAGCCACAGTCTATATGAGGGGGGGCAGGTGAGCCAAAATATGCAGCAGCAGCAGCAGTAGATTCATCTGAAGCCTGACTCATGGACTGTGATCAAGGATCTCTTCTCTTTTCGAGAGATTGGTGAGAGATGCAACAGTTTGTCAGTCTGCCCTCCCACTCCAGAGGAGGAGAAGCAGTACAGAGGAGGAGAAGCATTACAGAGGAGAAGCATTACAGAGGAGAAGCATTACAGAGGAGGAGAAGCAGTACAGAGGAGGAGAAGCATTACAGAGGAGGAGAAGCAGTACAGAGGAGGAGAAGCAGTACAGAGGAGGAGAAGCAGTACAGAGGAGAAGCAGTACAGAGGAGAAGCATTACAGAGGAGGAGAAGCATTACAGAGGAGAAGCATTACAGAGGAGAAGCATTACAGAGGAGAAGCATTACAGAGGAGAAGCATTACAGAGGAGAAGCATTACAGAGGAGAAGCATTACAGAGGAGAAGCATTACAGAGGAGAAGCATTACAGAGGAGGAGAAGCAGTACAGAGGAGAAGCAGTACAGAGGAGGAGAAGCATTACAGAGGAGGAGAAGCATTACAGAGGAGAAGCAGTACAGAGGAGAAGCATTACAGAGGAGGAGAAGCATTACAGAGGAGAAGCAGTACAGAGGAGGAGAAGCATTACAGAGGAGGAGAAGCATTACAGAGGAGGAGAAGCAGTACAGAGGAGAAGCAGTACAGAGGAGGAGAAGCATTACAGAGGAGGAGAAGCATTACAGAGGAGGAGAAGCATTACAGAGGAGAAGCATTACAGAGGAGAAGCATTACAGAGGAGGAGAAGCAGTACAGAGGAGGAGAAGCAGTACAGAGGAGGAGAAGCATTACAGAGGAGAAGCATTACAGAGGAGGAGAAGCAGTACAGAGGAGGAGAAGCAGTACAGAGGAGAAGCATTACAGAGGAGGAGAAGCAGTACAGAGGAGGAGAAGCAGTACAGAGGAGAAGCATTACAGAGGAGGAGAAGCAGTACAGAGGAGGAGAAGCAGTACAGAGGAGGAGAAGCATTACAGAGGAGGAGAAGCAGTACAGAGGAGAAGCATTACAGAGGAGGAGAAGCAGTACAGAGGAGGAGAAGCATTACAGAGGAGGAGAAGCATTACAGAGGAGAAGCATTACAGAGGAGGAGAAGCATACAGAGGAGAAGCATTACAGAGGAGAAGCATTACAGAGGAGAAGCATTACAGAGGAGAAGCAGTACAGAGGAGGAGAAGCAGTACAGAGGAGAAGCAGTACAGAGGAGAAGCATTACAGAGGAGGAGAAGCATTACAGAGGAGAAGCAGTACAGAGGAGAAGCATTACAGAGGAGAAGAAGCAGTACAGAGGAGAAGCAGTACAGAGGAGGAGAAGCAGTACAGAGGAGGAGAAGCAGTACAGAGGAGGAGAAGCAGTACAGAGGAGAAGCATTACAGAGGAGGAGAAGCATTACAGAGGAGAAGCAGTACAGAGGAGAAGCATTACAGAGGAGAAGAAGCAGTACAGAGGAGAAGCAGTACAGAGGAGGAGAAGCAGTACAGAGGAGGAGAAGCAGTACAGAGGAGGAGAAGCAGTACAGAGGAGGAGTCAGTGAGTTATAGATAAATAAGACGGATCTCTATGATCGTATGACATGGCAAACTACTTCAGACCGTCAGCCATGAGTGACAGATACAGAAACTCTAAAATGTCTCATTACAATTAGCAGTATTTAATTCCACTGTTCAGTATTTTACATTCTGCTTGTATTTTATCCTTTTTTACATAGTGAATTTATTACTAATTTGACTACATTTTATTCCTATTTTTATACTTATTTGTCTGAAGTAAAGACGCCTGGGACTGTACCTATTGTGCATATGTCAATAAAGCTTTTGAATCTTGAATCTGCATTGCCTGATCCCCCTTCTGAAGTCTCATATGTGTCATTGCACTTATAGAAATACATTTTAAACAAGCTTTCTGTAACTTGACATGATTTAGGACTTCCAAACACATCTCTGACTTCATCCACAGTGGCCTGTGTGTCATCGCATGATCCACAGAGTATATCTGACAGGACAATCCTCCCTCCCCTCGCTGACTAACACACACTTTCTAACGGGTTTCTGCCACTCACTCTCTGAGTCGCTGATGCCGCTGTCGCTCACGCTCGCGCTGCTCCTCCTCTTCATCGTCTTCAGGTGTTCATCGTACCGAAAGTGACGTTTCTCCACCGGCGACGTGAAGTCCTCCATCACCGCGTCAAACTCACACAGCACGTCCGTCAGATCCTCATGCAGCAACTTGGCTGCAGGAACAAGTGAGGAGAAAATGAAATGAATAACTTTAAATATAAGGAAAAACATGTAAATATATATAAATATATCAGGGATTGACAATAAAACAACCAAAAGTACCAATAATATTGTGAACATATATAGATATGAATAGGAAACTATAAATGCCTGATTTGCAAAATGCATAATGAAACATTTCTACTTTAAACATTACATTTAAATACTTTCTATGATAATTGTCTTGGAAGCTAAAGTGACAATTAAAGCGTAATTAACAAAGCAAGTGTTATTATTCAAAAATAAAGATAATACAGGATAGAAAAACAAACTTTGTATTTACCTTGAGGCTTCAGCTTTGGAGACTTCATTATTCCAGTGATCAGGTTTGAGATTATCCAAAATCTGAGTTATAAAATATAAATATGTAAATGTGTCCTCAGTGTAAAGTCCCACTGTGTTCTCGTGCAACTCGTCTTGAACTAACCCTCAGCGCGAGCTCTGCCTCCTTATAATGAGCCTGTCAGAGGGGGCGGGACGTGTGTGTGTGTGTGTGTGTGTGTGTGTGTGTGTGTGTGTGTGTTCCCGTGTTCCCGGTCACTCCTCTGAAGTCCCCTCGTGAAGTGATGTTTGTAAACAACTCGTTAGTCGCATGCCAGGCAGAGGTGTAGAGCACAGATATTAATAATCCAGTCATTCTCATGTTGTCACCAGGCAGATCCTCACAGGACCAGAATACACACACAGACTCATGGACTCCTGCCCTTAAATAATACTTTATATGAAGCTAATTGGCGTGATATAGGCTACTCGTGAAATATAGCATTTAAAAGTTTAAGGCTAGAAAATACTTAATACTTAATTTTACTTCACTTTAAATTAGAAGCAAACATTACTACAGTACGTTGATGCATTGTTACCCATAATTATGTAATATACAAAGCATATGGATCAGCTTATATATCAACAAACTGATATAGCACGGTTATAAGTTGAACTACCCAACAGTATTGATAAAACATGACCTTGGTCAGATAACACATTACAAGCCTTCTCACATTCATGTCTAACAAATGTATATAGTAATCAAAACAAATTGAGACGGGCCATTAGACCTTTATTATAAATACTTGGACCTGTTATTGATTCAAAAGTATTTTACATTCAGTAAGTAATCTGTGTATGTCTTCCATTATTAATATTTACCAAATGATTAACCTGTGTCCCAGCAAGTGATGATTTTTCTGTTACATAGTTGAAAACATTGCATGTATATTGAGCATTTCTACAGCAGTTGGAAAAGGTTAATTCAGTGGTTTTCAAACTGTGGGGCGCGACCCCTGGTGGGTCGCAGAGGTACTGCAGGGGGCGCGGGAAGATTTTTTCATTTTATTATTTTCTCCTTTTAGCTTTGTGAAGCACCTTGAGATGACGCTTTTAAAGTGTGGTATTTAAATCAAATGTATTATTATTATTATTATTATTAAATTGTAAACAAACACTGCTCGAAAATATCTCATTGGTCAGAGAGCTGTGGGCATAACGCTGCCTTTTGCAACATCCTACTTGTGTGAATAGGCTTTTCTTGCTGCCATCAAAACCAAATACAGATCAAAGCTGAACATTGAGAATGAACTGAGGGGCAGTCTCAAAACAGCAGCCCCGCTTTGAGAAGATCTGCGAGGGAAAGCAAGCACACACAAGTCATTGATGAGCTGTGTGGAATAGGAATGGTAAAGTGATGTGATCGTTTGCAACCTGCAGTAGAAATAGTAGTTAATTAATATATTTTCATTAAAGAAATTTGAATTTAAAAATCTACTCTGGGAAGAAGGCCTGCTAGTTTTAATTAGGCCAAATTAATTCACATGATATATTACAAGCACTTTAGTTCATGTGTAATCCATAATAAAATATACAATTATAGTTGTATCTTATTATTATTTGTAGAGAAAATGTAATGTTTTTACAACAATATACAATAAATCCTACCAATATAGATGGGAACCAGGTTGGGGGGTCCCGAAAATATTTCCAATTACCCAAGGGGGGCCCGACTGAAAAAGTTTGGGAACCACTGGGTTAATTGATATGACACTTTAAATGTTGACCTGTAGTTACCGTATATATCTATAAGAGCTCAGATGTATATTGAAGGTAAATGTCATATTATTGAGGTTTAGAAAGTGAGAACTGCTCTGAGAAAAGACATTTAAATGGTGAAGTCAATATGATCCTCAGACATTCATCACTCTGACATGAAAGAATTTAGTTCTGGTCTCCGTCAATGTGAAGCTGTAGCGACATCTGCTGGTGAGATATGACAAGTGCATCTGTTCAGGAAGTGACACCTTGAATTGGGATTATTTGTTTCACAACTATGATGAAGTGTGAATTTCCATTCGCTGGTTTGGAGAAAATATTGGTTTTCTAATCCTTTGAGTGTGAGTTTACATCTGGCTTTTTCTCTTTCATCAGGTGCTTGCCAAAACCAAGTAGCTTCATCCTTTAAGAAGTGGATGAACGCCAGTATTTCCCTTGATTTACAGCATGCTGTCTTTTGTAGAGGTTGGAGAAGTACTCAGATGTTGTACTTGAGTAAAAGTAGAAGTACTCAGATGTTCTACTTGACTAAAAGTAGAAGTACTCAGATGTTCTACTTGACTAAAAGTTGAAGTACTCAGATGTTCTACTTGAGTAAAAGTTGAAGTACTCAGATCGTGTACTTGAGTAAAAGTAGAAGTACTCAGATCTTGTACTTGAGTAAAAGCTGAATTAATCAGATCTTGTACTTGAGTAAAAGTAGAAGTACTCAGATCTTGTACTTGAGTAAAAGTAGAAGTACTCAGATCGTGTACTTGAGTAAAAGTAGAAGTACTCAGATTGTGTACTTGAGTAAAGTAGAAGTACTCGATCTGTGTACTTGAGTAAAAGTAGAAGTACTCAGTGTTGTACTTGAGTAAAAGTAGAAGTACTCAGATGTTGTACTTGAGTAAAGTAGAAGTACTCAGATTGTCTCTACTTGAGTAAAAGTAGAAGTCTCAGATTGTGTTACTTGAGTAAAAGTAGAAGTACTTCAGATTGTTGTTTACTTGAGTACAAGTAGAAGTACTAGATCTTTGTACTTGAGTAAAAGCCTATGAATTACGTCAGATCTTGTTCTTGAAGTAAAAGTCGAAGTAGAAGTACTCAGATCTGTTGATACTTGAGTAAAGTATGAAGTACTCAGATCTTGTACTTGAGAGTTAAAAGTAAAGTACTCAGGATGTTGTACTTGAGTAAAAGTAAGAAGTACTCAGATCTTTGTACTTGAGTATAATAAAGTTAGTAGATAAGTACTTCAGATCTTGTCCTGAGTAAACGTAGAATACTTCAGATCGTTATACTGAGTAAAAGTAGAAGTACTCAGAGTTGTACTTGAAGTAAAGTAGAAGTACTCAGATCGTGTACTTGAGTAAAAGTAGAAGTATTCAGATCGTGTACTTGAGTAAAAGTAGAAGTACTCAGATCGTGTACTTGAGTAAAAGTAGAAGTACTCAGATATTGTACTTGAGTAAAAGTAGAAGTACTCAGATCTTGTACTTGAGTAAAAGTAGAAGTACTCAGATCTTATACTTGAGTAAAAGTAGAAGTACTCAGATCTTGTACTTGAGTAAAAGTAGAAGTACTCAGATCTTGTACTTGAGTAAAAGTAGAAGTACTCAGATCTTGTACTTGAGTAAAAGTAGAAGTACCAGAGTGTAGGAATACTCTGTTACAGTAAAAGCATTCAAAATGTTCCTCAAGTGAAAGTAGAAAAGTATTCTCATCAAAATATAGTGAAAGACAGTAAAAGTAGTCGTTGTGTAGATTGGTCCATTTCAGAATAATATATATGATATGTTTTATAATGATTGATCATGAAAGTGTTCTCAAAGCTGGTGAAGGTGCAGATAGTCTGAAGTACTTTGTATACTGCAGGGTAGCTGGTGGATTTACTCCAGGTGGAACTAAAGTCTGATTCAACACTTGATTATATTTCACATCATTCATCCACATCTGTGAAGTAACTAAAGGTATTAAATACATGTAGTGGAGTAAAAGTACACCATTCACCTCTGAACTGTAGAGGAGTAGAAGTACAAAGTAGCATTACATGGACATAATAAAAAATGTACTTAAGAACAGTACTTGAGTAAATGACTTGGTGACTTTACACCTCTGGTCTTTCGTTTGTTATGATATGTCTTTGTGTCCCTTGTTTCTCACACGTGAAGCGAGTGTATCTCAGATCCCCAGACAGCAGTTGTCCAGTAAATCTGTGTGGGAGTGGATTGTCTCCACAGTCTCCATGCTGGGAGTTTCACACCTCCAGTGTTCACTCTACCACGATCAGCAAATGGACGAACACCGTGTGTGTGTGTGTGTGTGTGTGTGCAGCTGAACGTGTGTGTTGACTCTGCAGCTGAACCCAAAGAGAGGTGCTAAAAGTGACACCTTACACACACCCTGAGAAGATATCAGAGCTCACACACTCATAACCAGGACACCGACACATACATTCATTTATCTTTATATACATCACAGAGCTGGACACGGAATAATAGGAATCATATTTATTGAAAAATAAATTACATGACCTCTACTTACATATTTACATTCATTTAAAGTCATTTCTGATGAACACAATGCCATATATCGGCTTGAATGCTACTAGTATTTAAAAAAATAGACTATTGGCACAAGATTACTCACACACACTGCACTTATCAGTGAGGGGTTTTATCTGAGAATACCATATCTTTATATTCAACCCTTTGCACATAATGAGTTTAACAGAGGGGCCTGGGTGATTAATTTACGTGTGTTTGCAGCGTGGGTGAGAAGTGAAAACTAGTACACTGAACAAAAATATAAATGCAACACTTTTGTTTTTGCTAACATTTTCCATGAGATGAACTCAAAGATCTAAAACATTTTCTATAAACACAAAATAACCATTTCTTTCAAATATTGTTCACAAATCTGAAAAAATCTGAGATAGTGAGCACTTCTCCTTTGAAATCCGAAAACCAGTCAGTATCTGGTGTGAGGGGTAGGGTTAGGGTTAGGGGTAGGGTTAGGGTTAGGGTTAGGGTTAGGGTTAGGGGTAGGGGTAGGGGTAGGGTAATGTTGTGAATCGAGTGGCCCATGGTGGTGGTGGGGTTATGGTATGGGCAGGCGTATGTTATGGACGACGAACACAGGCCACTCGATTCACAACATTACCCTAACCCTACCCCTCACACCAGATACTGACTGGTTTTCGGACCCCCCCAGACCCCCCCAATAAAGCAAAACTGCACGTTTCAGAGTGGCCTTTTATTATGGCCAGCCTAAGGCACACCTGTGCAATAATCATGCTGTCTAATCAGCATCTTGATATGCCACACCTGTGAGGTGGGATGGATTATCTCAGCAAAGGAGAAGTGCTCACTATCACAGATTCTTTCAGATTTGTGAACAATATTTGAGAGAAATGGT